GCATTCTGAGATTAAAGTCAGCATTCTGAGATTAAAGTCAGCATTCTGAGATTAAAGTCAGATACTAAACTGAAATAAAATTTAAAAATCAGTTAACTTTTTTGTTTTTTTCCCCTAATCCTCTTCCGTAGTTTTCACATCGGCAAGACATGACAATAAAGAAAAAAAAACACAGCTTGGAAAAGGGATAGGGAGTCCTGTCTTTTAATGACTTCATGGCTGTTATGGCAACAATCCAAAAATTAAGGAGCGTGAACATGAGCTGAGCATTCTCTGGGGTCTGATGATGGGCTGTCAGTAAAAATGTGGCCTGAAGCGTGTCAGAAAGATCCTGTGACTCTGAACCCACAAGGCACAGATGACAGTGTAGGGAGGAGAGCTGAGGCTGAGGTGATTACAGCCACGTGTGTAAACAAATGTACAAACCCATTTGGATTTTATTGCACGAGATGCTTCCTATGAAGAAAGCTCAAAATGAGGGTGATGGATGAAACGGCGCTGCAGGTTCTGTTTGAAATAACCGAAGTGCAGAATCAGTGAGTAAGAAGGAGCCTGAGCCTAAAATAGAAGCAGCTTAAGCCTGATGAGACCGCTGCGACGAGGCCGCATGGCAATGGGCCAGGGTGCATCATGTAAGTCAGAGGGAAATGTTACAGAGGTTAGGCTGCACGCTTGACTCACCCTCCAACTTCTGCCTCGTCCTACTCTTCCACAGAAAGGCTGTATTTTTGCTGACCACAGATAACCTCGAAGTCCTGTGCTCTTCCTTTTCAAAGGCTTTCAGACGCCATAGTAGCGGTTACCTTGCAGTTTCTGTGCGACTTACAGCGAAGCAAAATATGTTTTATTGGCCTCTTGTTCTGTGAAACTTACCCACAGTCTTTGAGCTGCACTATAATCGTCCATTTTGGAGGCATTTTCTACATACTGCACTGGTACTCACCCTAAATGTGCAAATGTACCCATCTTAAAATACAGACAGAACATTTAAAATCATCCCTTGCTTCCAATGAGAGGCTTTGTGGAGTTTAAATAAGGACATTTCAGTTTTGAACCAAATAAGATTCGTTTCTAACCACTAGGGGGAGCTGAGAGCACCGAGAATCACTGCAAGGCTCCCTAATAGTTTATCTTCTGCACCTTAACTGCTGTGGCAAACATTTCCAAGCAGCCTGAAGAGGCTCTGCTTCGTGTGTCCTTCCATAAAAAGGTTGATTCATTTGAAACATTTGAGAGAAAAGATCAGGGGTTGTGTAAAAGCGAGTCAGTTTCTGTTATGTGATGTTGACCTTTAGTAGCATACCCTTTTAGGAGAGATTCCTGCATTGCACAACAACAACAACTAAAGGAGGTCAGGTATGACATGAATACATTTTGACAACTTTCTTGTTCTTTTTTTTTTTTTAGTTTTATGACACAGAAGAAAACAAAATGACAGACTTCTACTTTTCCGGGTCGCAGCATGTTCCAAGTCACAGTATCTACCACTCAAAGTGTCACATGGCAGCTCAGAAAAACTTTGACAAAGCCCCCCCTGTCTCTCTGAAGGTGATCAAGTGCAACCACAGTGAAATACCAAGGAATATGGGTCAAAGGGGCAGACGGCAGATTAAGCACGCCTGTTTGAATGTTTATCTTCCACTTACTCTGTTCTCATCGTAGATGATCTGCACCAGGCTGCGGTGTTTGGCCTCGCTGGGTGGCGGCGAGATGGGCCTCTCGGGTTCATGGGGCTTAGCAGCTTCCTCCTCCAGCTGTTGCTGCGGCGTAAACAAAAAGATTGCATTAATCTCCCGTTGCAGACGTTGAGACAAACAACAAAAGTCAATTAAAGATTTTATTTGTAGACCCAAAGTAACACATAAATGACAAAGCCATTAAACTACACAGAGATCTGACACCAAACTTTGCTTTGATTTATCATCTTGACCACAGACTGGTGGTGGCCCTGATTCACAGGTGCATTTATTCCTGTCACACTGCATGCTTCTGCTTAGATTATGTGTGATTAAGGAAAAGAACAAGATGCTGTGAGCTTAAACAAAAACAAGAAAGAAAAATGAGAACAAAAATAGAAAAGTTTGGAACATCAAACAATGAGTTAATAAACTTTGCAGCAAAACTGAATCTGATTACCACAATTAAAGTAGACAAACAGAAGACAGATGCATTCCTGATTGCTTTTTGGAGCAAATAACATGGATGTTTACTCAGGGACTGTAAAACAAGAGGGTCTGCATATGCACAGGCTGAGGTAAGGAGATAGGAAAGTGCCAAACAGGGAGCTGCAACGATGGGAAAGGCAGATGGAACAACCGAGCAGCTCTAAATGTGCATCTGTAACATTTAGCAACAAAAATGTGGGATTTGAGTAAAAAAAAAAAAAATCAGTTAGCTGAACTTTTTTTTTTTTAATGTTTTTTTTTTTTTTTTGACAATTAATGATAATTTAATGAAAATAACAAATGTTAACACAAGTCTTAACTCAGACAAAAGAAAGACCAACTCAATGAAAAAAACTGATAGCAAATGGAGGAGGGAGCAATGGATGTGAATTACGTGATCTTAAGTCATGCATTGATCAATAATAAAAAAGGCAAGTATCAGGAAACAACATCAACCGGTCAATGTATCTATCTCTAATTGAAAGAGCTGCTTGTTATCTCACTGTCCATCAGGCTCGTTAGCAGTCAAAGTCTTAGTGATAACAGAGAAAAGTTATGATGGAAAAGTAAACAAGCATCTGTTTAAAGCCACGCTGCCAGTGAGGCAGGCTTCCACATGACTTACTTAGCAAACATTCATGCTTATTTTGTCTATATAAAGATCAGTTATAAGTACTTTCAGTTTTTCATACTCTGAAATGATTTTCAGCTCTCACCCTCAGAGGAAATGTTTGGGTAAATTTGATGTCATTTGTGGCTTGGAAATATCAGCAGAGCGTATTGAGCTGTAAGCTGAGGCTGGATGTCAGAGAGAGCCGCACAAACAGCTGATCTACATCTACGTCCGCTCTGAACTCCCTCCGCTCATCTCGTGACAGAGGCTTCAGAAGGCGGCGGGGTAGCGGTGGCGAAAGTGGCCTCCTGAGGACCCAGCCACATACGAGCAGAGTAGGATGGATGGGCTTGTGCCATGAGATCCCTGGATAAGCATCTGCTCAGGCAAAAGCAGACTTGAAAACACAGCAATCGCCTTCACACCCCACCTCAGAGTGAAATAAAATAAACCAGCCGTCCAGCGTTTGGCGGACACTCTTGACTGTAACCGAACCTCTACCTCATGGCCGTCCGCTTAATCTGCCAGAGCTCTTTAAAAAATGTTGTACTATGCCACTTAATCAGACCAGATGTTTAAATGCTCGGCAAGAGCTGGATGGAAAAACTTTCACAGAGCCTCAAACTCTGATCATCAATTTCTCTGAAAGCAGCTTTTGATTTAACAGCTTTTAGAAGCTAAATATTCTTCTATTTACTAAAAATAACCGTTTCATCTTTAAGTCAAACCAGGCATATTTTTAATAAACTTTTACAATATTAACCAGATATTGGCATCAACTTTTAAACCAGTCTGTTCTTTTATTTGATGAACTGATTCATACTCTAATTAAACCAAGTGAAGCTAAAACTGCCTTTTAAAGTGATCTGGACAGTTCACTAAAAAAAAGTTTTTTCAGATTGAATACAAAATGTTTATACATTATTTAGAATTTAGGTATAATTAGTGTTCGGCATGGATTGTTCTCTAAGCTAATGGCATATATTAAGAGTCTATATTCCAGCTAAATATTAGTCAGATACTGAATTAGTTCACCATAATTTCAATAATGAATTAATCCAATTATTGAGTCAGTCCTAAAGTGCATTTCTTAATGATGACAGAAATGAGCGCAGCCACTTAAAGGTATAGAGGACGATCCTTTATTTTGAGGTGGATCATATAAATAATTGGTCCTCCTAGTCGTCAATCATTCTGGTGATATGTTTACGTAAGGCTGTCCTACGTACTCGTCCCATTAGCTACCTTTTTCTGTGCATGCGCACTTTCAGGCGTATAAGTGGTGAGCTACGGTTTCAGACAGTCATTGAAGCTCACTACTTTGAAAATGGCCGAGGGTCGAAAGAGAAAAAGTGTCTACGAAGTGTATGAGAAGGAAAGAAAGGCAGATATATATTCCAGACTGCTTTGCACGGAGAGCTCTCCTCGCAAAGCATTATGGGATTTGCTGTCAAAGCAGCCCGCTTACGCCATAGGCTGTCGCTAATGGACAGCAGCGACTAATAACAAAGATTGCGCAGAAACCGCGCAGTGGAGGAGGAGTTACGTGAGCAACAGAGCAAAAAGCAGTGATCATCTGTCAAACGGTCAGTTAAGTGAGTTTGCTATAAAGTCCACTATATAGTCCCTGCTGTATGTGGACATAGAGAGCTTGTATTAGCTATGAAAACAGCCCATTTTAAACAGGGCGTGCACGAGGAGAAATGGGCTTGTTGTGTAACCCGTGTGTATACGTTGTGTAACCTGCAAATTTAAGAGTGTGAAGAGCTTCTTCAGCTTGCCGGTAATAAGCTAAGTTATTTGTCATGATACATACATGAAATTCCTAAATCAGATGCAGGGTTAGCCTGAGCTGCCTGGAGAAAACCCACGCAAAAACTGGGTGAACATGCAAACTGAACACCCACTGTCTACTTTTAAGGGTAGGTTTAAAACTTTCCTTTTTGATAAAGCTTATAGCTAGAGAGACTCAGGTTATCCTGAGCTATCTCTATAGTTATGCTGCTATAGGCTTAGACTGCTGGAGGACATAGGGACCTTTTTTCATCATTCTGCTTCATTCTATCTCTATTCTCCCACTCTGCAGAATCTGTTAGTTCAATCTCTGCTTTTTCTTATAGTAACTTTGCCTCGTGGCCTGTTTTCCAGTGTAGTCCTGTTTCTCTGACTGTGACTGGCTGGGTGTGCTCTCTTCATCCTCTGACATGGGAGCTGGCTCGGAGCTCGTCTGCCTGGCTGTGTGTTTCCTGGATGGGGCCGCCTTTTACAGCTTCTTTTTGTATCTCTGCTTCTGTCTCCTTGAACCCCAGTCGGCCTCAGCAGATGGCCGCTCACACTGAGCCTGGTTCTGCTGGAGGTTTCATCCTGTTTAAAGGGAGTTTTTCCTCTCCACTGTCGCTACAAGCATGCTTAGTGTGAGGGATTGCCTTCGAGTCAATGAGTCGATGCAATCAACTGGTTTTCCTTAGATAGAAAACTTTGTATCAATTTGACTGGATGATCTGGTGAACTGTAAAGTGCCTTGAGATGGCATGTGTTGAGAATTGGTGCTATAGAAATAAACTGAATTGACCACAGGAAGGACAGGATTCAAACCCAAGACCTTCTTGCCAAAGGGCAATTAGATTAGTTATTTTTTTGGATTATTAAATCTGTAGTGGCCTTTATCTGTGTTACTTTTCAGAGTACGCATACAGGAAATGGGATTAGAGAGGGGAAACGTGCAGCAAAGTTCAACAGGCCGGACTGGAACCTGTGACGATGCAACACTCGTATTTTTTTGATACACCTTGATACATATTTCGCAATTCAAAATGTATAAAAATTGACTAATACTAATGTTCTATGTAGTCTGTAAAAAGGTGTAAATAAAATGGTAAAATGGTTGTTTTTGGAGTCTATATTAAATACTTGCGATAGACGGGCAGGTGATGTCGCATCATATCGATCTCAGATCTGTGAACTGGATTTAAATCATATAGTGACATTGTAATAGCAGGAATCATTAGGTCATCATGAAAACAAATAGATAAAGCATTGCACGGTGACAAAGCACCTGGTGATTTATGCCCCTATGAAGATAGTCTGGTCCCAGGTCTGCAAGGCTCCTGCGCTCCTCTGCTTGGCTTTGATGAAGGTTTACATTTCAGGTGTTTCACACCAAGCACAGAAATTAGCTGCAAACTATTAGCCAACTTCAAAACCAGTCAATGCACAATCGGCACACATGCTGTTCAACTTTGATGTGGTGAAAATAAGTCAGCAGATTTTTTTCCCACATTTAGATTTGTTATGATCACATGTTCTTCTGGTTATTCCTCAATTACAGCAAAGCTGCTTCTGTAGCATAGCTGTTTTTTTGTTTTTTTTTTAAGGAATGTAAAAGTGGTATTATGTAACGGCTGCATGTCTGACGGATCAGTACGTAGCCTGGATGAGAGCAGGTGTCTTCATGCAGCTTCTGGTAGCAACTCAGGGGACGGAGTTGCTGGGTTGGCGGGAACATGTGGTTTCAACAAAACGTTTAGGATACGTCTTTTGCCCTGAGGGGAGCTGTTATTTAGAGCTTCATGTATATTTCAATTATTCTTCTTTGTAATGAAAATAAAGCAGACAAAGAGAGGTAATTGAAAAATATTAATGAAATGGTTCAGCAGAATCAAAATACACAAAAAACTGGGGCGCTAGACCTGTTACTTACAGGTTTCGCGCCTGAGAGCCACTGGCATCAGTGCGCTGTCACTAAATGAAACAGTCTCCCTCGTTGTTTGGGAATCTGATAGCAGACCACTTTGGACCAGCAGACGGAGTATTCATGGAGTTGCTTGTAAATTAATGGCTACATTCACATCTCTAAATTAAATCCCACCTCAGAGAAGCAAAAACTAGTCTGTCTGGGTAAGGGTCAGATTGGATTTGCTACCTAACAACAACTTTTCACGGTTCTAGGGGAGTTCAGTAGGCTATAAAGTGGCGCTCTCGCTTACATGACTTATTCAACGACGGTTTCGACCATCTCAGGTTACGTAGGTGAGATTTTGAGAATGGCATCCTGCATGAAGCATTCCTACGTACCAAGTGCAACATAACACAAAAAAACTATACATATCCATTTTTCTTAAGCTTTGTAACGATCCTCAACCAGATGGAAGTGGGGATTATAAATGAGCCACTAACACATTCACACACTTACTTTAATGTGAAGCTCTGGCTGCATTTTCCTGCTAGAAAGCAAATCTTTGCTTCAGTTTTCTGTCTTTTTTAGCCGCCTTCTTAGATTTTCCTTGATTTACCTCCATCTACCTTCCTATCAACTCTGACAAGCTTTAATGTCCCTCCTTAAGAGAAAGCATTACCACAGCATGATGTTGGATGGGTAAATGAATGATTGTAGTGTAAAGTGCTCTGGAGTCATTTACCAATTACCATGCTGCCAGGGCAAAAAAGTTGAAGGTACATCTGATGGGAGCAAGTTATTCTGCATTTTTCATTTCTGTTACCATGGCGGCGCTCCAAGGCAGCGGCCAAGAGCAGCTCCTCTCGGCAATTTCACAAAATATGCCGCTTAAAACGATACAAACTAGACATCAAACCCGCGTCTGTGATCGCCAACGCCTGCTGGAGCTACGGTCACAAAATGTTTTAAATACTGACATTTTTCACCGTTTAAAAAGCTGCGGAGTGCTGAGGAAGGATGTCAACAACAGCAGAAAATAACGGACGAAGGAAGAGATGCGCGAGACGGAGAAAGAGAAGAGGGGCTAACTGCGAAGCTAAAGAGAGATCCCCACAGACCACCGCTTCCAGCAATCCTGCTCTCCAACGTCCGCTCGTCGGAAAACAAAATGGATCATCTCCAACTCAGACTCTCTTCAAAAAAGCAGATATATAACTGCTACACCATCATTCAGATTGAGTCTTGGCTGCGTCCAGCAATACCAGACAATGCTATTAGCCTCGAGGGGCTAACGCTATACCGTGCCAATAAAACCAAAGAGCTCTGCGTGAATGGAGGCTCCTCTGAGAATGTTCCCAGGCAATCTTCGGCACCTAGAGGGAAAGCACATCCCTCTGTAGGTGAAAATGAGGAGAGCACCCTAGATGCTTCCTGCCAAATGCTGAAACATCCCAAGCGGGCTCTACCCAGCCCCCTCCGGCTTCCACACCTTCTCCAGCATCGTCTGTCACTGTTAAACCTGTCGATGACACCACTGCTTCTTCGACCCTGGGGGCTACCACCCTCACAGCATCGTCATCATCCTTCTCTTCCGCACCCGGAGCCAGGAGAAGCGAGTGCTTCAGGAGCTGGAGGCAGTAGTAGCAGCTCAGCAACAACTGCTGCTTACCTTATCAAGGCTGCACTTTAAAATAGAAAATTGTCTAGAGAGCTGTTCTAAAAGAAATGTATTTTTGTTTATACTTGTGTATACAAAATGACTACCGTAAATAAATCTGTCCAAATTTTTTCCCTACACCTACATCAGGGCATTACACCACCTACTGTGGAGTAAAGAAAATAAACGGTATGACAACGGGGGGCAAAAGAGAAGCTATATATGGGGAAAAAATGAGGATCTGTGTGAATTTCTGAATGCACTTGGAAGCAACAAACCAGTCCAACCGGTGAGTTTAGGTGAAACGTTGTGTCTGGCAGGGTTCGCAGTTGTGCCGGGCTTCTCCTGTTTCCTTATTCTCCGAAACTTTAAAGCTTAGGGTTCAGCTTTATGATCCAATCTTGTTTTAAAGATCTCCACAACGTTCTCTCCGACCCGCCTGCTGTGCTCTTTAGTCTTTATGAAGCTGTTTGAACGCTACTGTTTAACAAAAAGCTGAGGTTGTCATAGAACAACAGGAGTTAATTACATACAGGTGAACTCTCTACTCACTAAATTACATCTAAAGGAAATTGACTGTGATGCATTTTATTTGAGAAAAGGTTAAAAACTATGAAGCATTTTCCTTCTACTTCATACCCAAACTTGACTTTGTGTTGGTCTGACACATAGAAATATGACCATATGAAATGATGTTTAAGGTTTTAATGTCCTAAAATGTAAAACTAGGTTCAAGGTGTGTGATTAATGTACTGGGATATTCTTTTATCTGAAGGCAAACAGTCAAATTAGTATAAAAAACTGTTCAGCAGAAAAACAGTGTTCAGTAAAAATACTTATGTTCCTCACATAAACCCAGCTCTCACTGTAAATGGCATCACAAATTCTACATATCAAAGCAATGTTTAGCATTTGGACTATTTTCTGCTGTCATGTTGCTGCAAAAGATCTTAAACTACTTCTTTGCTCCAGACACAACCATCAGGCAGTAGCACCAGACGGCCTCCAAGAGAACAAACCTGCTTCTTGCGCAGCTTGCAGATCTGCTGCTCCACCATGGTGATCTCCCTGTCCACACGCTCCATGTTCTGGATCAGCTCCTCCTTGGAAAATCGAGCTGGAACCAGATCCAAGTCTGGGTCCATGTGGACCGGGCTCACAGGGGAGATGGGCTCCAGCTTCCCAATGGCACTTCCACGCTCCTGTGGAGGGTCAATATATACGTCTTCAGTACAGATGTAGAAATGCATTTATTTATTTCTTTTAACAAACAGAAAAAATGTTCCACAAACAAAAAAACTTTTTTTCGAGAATCTATAATTAGCGAGGAGGACTTTGTTCCAGTTTAAATAGTGTTTATATTGCAGTATTTATGACTACAAGGAGGATTTTTTATTTAATTTTATCATTAAATTATGCTGCAGAGGTTGCAGCATTATGAGACATTTAAAATGTTCCATTGCTAAAGCAAGGAGCAGCTGCTTAGAAAGTTAGTTTTGAATTTAAATATATCTCCCATCCTACCATCTCTTCATTGGATTCCAGTTAAATCAAAAATAGAATTTAAAATCCTCCTTATCAGGCTCCTCTCCTGTGGAACCAACTACCAGTTTTAGTCCGTGAGGCAGACACCCTGTCTACTTTTAAGACAAGGCTTAAAACTTTTTTTTTTTTGATAAAGCTTCTAGTTAGAGTGACTCAGGTTATCCTGAGCTATCTCTATAGTTATGCTGCTATAGGCTTAGCCTGCTGGAGGACATAGGGACCCCTATTACATAATTTTTGCTTCATTCTCTCTCTATTCTGCCACGCTGCAGAATCTGTTTGTTCAATCTCTAACATTATGCTCTCTCTGCTTCTTAGCTTCATCTGGTCTGTTCCTGTTTGGCTGTGACTCCATCCTGGAGAGAAATATCAGCTGTGCTG